GCCTGCGGAACCCGCGCTCATTTGAAACTAAAAGTACATATGAATATATGCACAGAAATTATTAAAAACTGAACAAATGTACGCTTTAATATTCCAATAAGTACTAAAAATTCCTTTCAGTAATTAAATAATCTATTAATTAAATCTGGAACATCTATTGGCAGTGTGCAGTAGTCAAAGTGAACCATTAGGCATTGTACTCCATGCAGGTGATGAAGGACACATCATCAACGCGACTGTTTAAGTAAGGAACTGGGGCAACACCAGGGTAGAATCAGTCCCATTATCTTCTGGCACGGAAAAAACATATTTGTAAAGAATATGTCTGAGTAATCTTGTAAGTTAGAAAATTCTAGATCTTAATAAATCTAGATGCGGTTAATAGCTGTTATGAAACATTCTGTCTCGCAGCTGTCACTCAACATTAAGAATTTATTGTGGCGTAGCGATAACTTCACTTCCGTTTCCTTCCGTCCTGCTGATGTTACCACTGTCGATAATGATACACTTCAACCACTGCTATTTTGCCCAATTTTTGTTATCGTAGTCATGCACCGAAAAAAAAGATCAGTTATCAAGAGCGCGCGATCAGCGCTAGGGCCTCTGTAGGAAAGAACTGTTGTGATCTCTAGTAATGGCGAGTTCTGATTTTAATAAACTGTAACATACCAAGAAACAGGACATATTTTTCAGCATAAAATGCATAGATTTTCGCCAGTCAAAAGAAAATAAAATGAACAGAAATCGAGGCAGAGTACATAGAATCGAATGTCGTCAACTTATGTGCAGCCAAACCATCCAATTCGCGGGGCAGTTAAGAACGCTAGCCATATGGTTAGTCAGTCACAACCGGCAAACCTCGGTTCTATCTGCAAGTTTACCAAAATTCGTGTGAGTGGCAGCTAACTTCGATACACACAGAGTACAGTGAATACACTGGGTGCTCCATGCCATCCAGAAACCCGACTGTAGCCGCTATGACGTCATTAGTGATAGTCTGAGCCACCTCCTTGCCACAATCCCCTTACCTTGGTATTCGCCTAAACGTAACGCAGCAACAAGTCCGAAACTCAGACACCATGTTAAGGATAGAGAGCAATAGGGAGAAAAGACAACACAATCGTTAAGTCAAACTTCGCTTTCAACTCTCTGAGAGTCATTCGCCAACTGATCCCTCAAAACCTAGCACGGATTTCAGCGATTATCTTGCCACGTTCGTAAAGCTGTATTCTGCCGATGTCAAGTTCGCAAATTTTCCACGTTAATGAAACAAAAACGCTGGAATCGAACATAAACATTCGTAAAAGAAGAATACCACTGGACTAG